AATAACAAATTTCATGAGGTATGGCACCATCCCCATCCTCCTGGTTGCCTGACGGAAGAAATTTAAGCGGGATACGGCTGCATGATGCGCAAACCATAATGACCTGCAGTGCTAGCTACTGTCACCTTACCCCAAGACACTATGGGCAAGAACTCAGTATAGTACGCAGTAAATCTGATTTTAGAAAAATTATTACCGCACGCCAGTATTTGAATTCATATTTTTAGTTTTAATGAAGGCATAGAAAGAGTAGTGGCAAATAAGAAATCACTGGCGATGAGCAAAGTAGGTATTGGCTCTAAGGAATAAAATGAGCGAAGTGCATTAAGCTCCGTCGGAGCTCAGGCAACATGGAGCCGTAGCCTTTCCCAATCCTCCAGGAAGAAGACAATGCAGCACATCGAGAAGTCGGAAAATAGTCAGGCATACATAAACCAATCAGCATTTATTAAACTATATAAAACTAAAACAGAATATAAATAGAATATACAAGAATGAATGCATGTGTTCATAACCAGCACGGTGGATGCTTGACATTCTGAACACACATATTATGACTGAATATAACTAGCAAAGGTATTTCTGAAAACCCTACTCTACCAGTCAGTCGAAAGCCTGCCGTATGGAGTCCTGAATGTCACATACAGAGAAACCGGATGATCCATACTATTTAGAACAAAGTTCGCAGCCAATGTCTGATCGAGCCTAGAAAGCTCAGAAGGCCAAGTCGCAAAGAATGATTAAACAGTCTGTATGTCAAACAGTTGGCAGTTTTAGGCGTTAAATTTACTACTGGTTTTGTCTGGTATTCTCAACCATCGATGAAAAAACTAGCAACAATTATACCGTTAAACAGTTAATCGCAAAACTGTTAATTATAAAACGCTGAATTAAACTATTAATTAGTAGTGCGAGATCGGTAAAAGAGCTAGACACTGTGATTTAATGCACACATATCTTTCAGGAAGATATCAATATGGAATTCAGTTTGAATAAAATGTCATGGACAAGATTAATAAGGGATAGACCTGAAGTG